ACGTTGGCCCAATAAAAATTATGATATGTGGCCAATGATGATTTATTATCATGTGGCATTCCACTTTATCTAGTTAAATATCAATATCCGTAACCAATATTGCCCGTTATAAATCCCATTATTGGTTTCCAATAATTCTTCCTAATTTCCAATATTGGCACAGTCAAGCCTCGTTAATATGGACGACCCCATTCCCCAGAAGATATCGACTCATATCCAAAATATGTGTCGTTCGTGATACCGAATCAAGGTCAAAAACACAAAGATTGCTTAGCAAGCGCGGGGAACAATCACGTTCGCAGGTTTTATTTCGAGACTGGAAACCAACGACGGGGTGTACGCTGTGACCGCTTGGATTCACTCATATGGTTTCTTACGTTTCGGGACCTATTTCTGAAAACTGGTGTTGTTAATAACGAGACCAAAACACGCGAATTTTCTCTGTTCGTTTCCGGAGTAGCCGTCGATAATCCACACTGCGGGTTTCTATATTAACGGGGCAGGATTGCATGGCGACACAGCGGTCGCAAAAAAAATGTGTTCCATGTTGGGGGGTATCCATATTAACGTGGTTCACATTAACGAGAGATGACTGTATCCAATATATGTATACAAAAGCAAATTGTTCCGTGTATGCTTATACAGCCGGAAGTTAGTCTGCCTCAGTGGGCGTCTGGTGTCTCAGCTCTAGATGATTAAGTTAGTCACTGCGGTACAATCGCTCACCTGGGGTCTTTAACGTGCACCACGCAGTAGTAATACACGACCGCACGCCGGTAAAATACTCATCCAGATCGAAACGGGCAGGGTTGGGGATTGGTGTATACAGAACCAAAAAGAAAGGCGATAGGTTTCATTGGGAGCACCGTTTTACGGACGACAAAAGGTTGCCAAAAATTGCAAGTAACGTACTAAAGCACAGCCTTCTCTTCTTTAGTTTTGCATCAACCAAAAACTACGTGTAAGGAAAAAAATTTAAAAAAAATTGTGCTTAGTATTTCATGTAGTCGCCATTGACATGGGCAGTGTTCGAGGACGATGGACCCGAATAACATCGAGGGCGTCCCCGATGCTCGGGGGATCCCTCTTGCATCGCGTACACCGAGCGACACCAAATAAAAATAAAAAAAGGAACAAGGAAATCTGAGCAGGTGAGGCTCGATGGCTCAATCCGAGGTGTGTGTTGACATACAACCGAGCCTCACACAGCTGTGGGAAAGCCGGAAGTGATGTCATATCCTGTTGTGGAACGCGCCGGTTTCAAGGCCCGGCGTCGGAGAGTGGATACGGCGGCGTTGACGCTCGTCGCGGCGTCGCATACGTGCCACGTCAGCGCTGACGGACTTTGCATATTGCAATAAGAGGAATGAAAACAGGCTGCTCTACGGACAAACGCGACGCCGCCCCCAGTCACGGCAAATAGTTTTGTTACCACGTGCCTCAAGGCATAGGCGGAAAGCCCTCAAGTCTGGGGGAGGGGGGGGGGGGTGCCCCCTTCCCCCAGTTAAAAGGAAACCACCAATCAGGGTGAGAAAAGAGCACTGCGGAAGGGTCTTCTCTTGCTCTTCTTAACCTGCAATATGCTATAAATGGGCATGACCAATCAATCCCACCGTCCGGAGCGTGGGCAAGAAACGACATGCCGGCCTTAAATTCGTATGTTGTTGATATATATATACACAACACCTGTTTTCTTTTTCTTTTTTTAGGATTCCGCTGAGTTGGCCGCATCGAAAGGGTTGGGAAAGGTATCAGGATCAGTTTTACGCGTTTTACAACGCCGTCGGCCCACACGATCACCTGTGCAGTTTGGGGGGAATCAACAGAAAGTTGTTGTCGTAATATTTTTTGTACAGTTGCAGCACGAACGCGGGAAAACTGTCAAGTGGTCTGAACCACACGTACCGCGCGTTCAGTGCGTCTTCACGTTTAAACGACCGTCTTCACATTCGAGCGACAGCGGTCCGTAGACCACCACTTCCAGAGTTTACGCGTCGTCGACACGGTAATTGCGATGTGAAATATTTGTAGGCCTCTAAAGGTTTGTAAATGTGTAGTGTGTTTGGGTTATCGTCTCGCAGTAAGTGGTAGTTACAAGGTAGCGTTGACCATTGTAACCGGCAGCGATCGTCGATTTGTCATGCGTGATTCGCACGATACGATATTGCTTGCGATTTTCGACTTTGACGTCGAGCATCGCAGTTTTCGTCTAGACTTTTTCTTCTCTGCCCCAGCAACGTCGCAACTAAAATAAGGACCAGAATCTTACCATGCGAATCAGGTTTTCATTTTGTGGCGTCCACGCGGAATGGATGGTTCTTCGTCACATTTTTCACGCGAAGTTTTGCAGCGTATACGAGCCTTAGCCTTTTCAAAAGTAATTAAACAAAAATGATAGAAATATGTCAAATAAAAAAATTCCACTGCAAAACAACAACAACACGGGGACTTACGCGAACTCCCCATCCCAATAGTTTGTTGATGGGAGACGGCGCGCTTCTTCTAGCGGCGCCGCTGGGGGCTCGTCGGTTTTAAAAAACATGAGTTTGTCTATACAAACTTCAGCATGGAGTGTTTAGTGAATCTGGCACATTATACTTTCGTTTTCCAATTTAAGTTTAAGAATTTCATTGGTTAATGTCATTGTTACTTCCTATGTATTTATCTTCGTCGTTTTGACATGTTTTGTTTTATTTCTGCGATCTCAGCGATTGTCAAAATGAAGGGGTAGCTTATTGAAATTTCTTTCTCGGGTAGACAGAAATCTGATCAATTGATCGCTTCAAATACCCACGTGATAATCCAATTATTCCACGGAGGATGCGCCGGTAAGACATTCAAACCTATCACCTATGTCTAGTTACACGGAGTTATTTCTAATTGTAACGCTTTCAGATTACTTATATCACGACATCGTCTATTTTACTGTTGTGCATTTCTTGAAATTTGGAAACGATATCCATTTGGGTTACGAAAGGTTAACTTTTTTTGTCTCGTTTAATAATTTCTTCGCGACTACTACAGGTGCTTTGTCCAAGATGCCCACAACGGATTTTGTCAAACCAAGCACGCCACAGACTCAACCTTTTTTTTTTTTAATGCGACAATATTGAAAGCGAGAAGGAACAAGAAGCACAAAGAAGACAAACAATACGCTTTCTATGTGCCAGTTAAGCAACACAAAAAAACGAAGACCCGGGTGTTTAAGCGTATTCATGACGACCATCGAGGAGATCTCAGACTTAATTTAACTCGAAGCGCTGAAAGGAGGTTCGTTCTAGGCACAGGTGCAAGGCTCCGTCGTTATCTTATCGGACGCGGAAGACCAAAGCAAGAGCTCCGCCGTGGCCTAGACGGCTTCCAACGAGCGAAACATAATAAAAATACGAGAATATAATTGTCGGCACGCTTTTTTTGTTATCCATCGGGTAGTTCCTCGTCCATCTTCAGCAGACCGTCGAGGCGGAGAAGGCCTGGGCAGAAATGTTTCCTTCGTGGCGCGCGAGTACTGCGGCGTGTGCTTCACGCCTTTGTGTTGACTCGTGACCGATTACGACAAGAGCATACACGGGCGGACTGGCGCCATCTATCGGGCAGCTCTGGAACACCTCCAGGAATATTTTGTAGCATTTGCGAGATAAAATGTACGCACTATTTATGGGAAATATTCACCCTTAACAGGTGTCAGGATTGTTTCAAGTTCAAGGTGAAGGAATGAAGCGTAAAATATACGGAAATAGGAAATGTTCCAGGACTGCACGATAGAGCGCGCTAGTGTGTTCCCTCGACGTAAGCGGTGACAAACGGTTGCAACGCAGTCGATCATGTTCAAACGTAAATGTGAGAACAAGCATTTGAATTAAAACTAAAGTGGCATCTTCACGAGGGAACGAAAGACGCATTCTTATTTTAGTGCCTACGCGTCTAATATGGGGTAAAAAAAAATCACTTGGTTTAGACATTTTGACAAATTAATTATGCGCGATAGCACTTGATGGGGCTTTTAATGAGCAGCACTGGCTATCGGATTGATGTGCGATGTGACACCTGACAAAGGAATTGCGAATGTATTAAGGACTCGCTTCGTCCGTGCACTTCTGCTCTGGGCCATTGCGTCATTGTTGTTCTTTGATATGCTGCCGCACATACAATCTGACCATGAAATGCCTTAGCACTTACTATAGTAGGTGACAACTTAAGAGTTCAGTGGAGCTCGTCCCCCTTCTTTCCACTTTAGTAGAATGAGCGCCGAGGAGGAGGCTACCTTCTATCCAGCGTTCGTTCTGATAAAATGGAAAGAGGTGGGAGAAACTTTTCCTGGACTCTTAACCTGACACCGGCTATAGATTATTCTGCTAATAGGCAGTTCCTACCCTGCTGGGCAGCACCCTTACTCCGCGTGGGGCTACGCCATAGGTCGCACGTTAAACCAACAACTGCGCTCTGCTGCTGACACTCTCTCTCTCGTGGCCTTGCTACGGTGCGACCAACATCAATATGAGCAAGCAACGTTCTCATGTAAAACTTTCACTTTAAAATTACCTTGTAACTTCGAGGCAATAAATTAGAGCGCAGCTCTTGAGGAGGAGTAGGGAAGGGTACTGAGGGGGGGAGGGGTCATGTGACGTCGGAAGGGGGGGTCACGTGACCTTCTACGTGACCTGGGGTGTCACGTGACCTCGGGGGGGGGGTCACGTGACCTGGGGGATCACGTGACCTCCCAGGTCACGTGACCCCCAGAGAAATTTTTCCGCTAGATTTAGCGGGGAAATTTTTCTGCTGAATTTAGCGGGGGAATTTTTCTGCTAGATTTAGCGGGGAAATTTACCCATAGTGCACCGCGCGGATACGCCGACGGCGACGGCAACGCCGCTGAAGCCGGAAACGGGCGCCTAAGAGCTGCGCTCTAAAGCGCGCGCTCCTGATATATTGCTCGCATACGTTCCTAGGGTTGTTCATGATTGCGGACTATAAGCTGCCTTCTTTTGTTTTTTTCTCAGGTCCGTTCATGATTGCCTACCTGACACTGCTGGTTGTGTGCGGCATGCCAATGATCTGTATCGAGATGGCGGCTGGAAGGGTGACTCAGTCGGGGCCGATCGCCGCCATCGCCAAGCTCTGTCCTCTCATGAAGGGTAAGTAACCATGTATCCCACTACCATCTCTGCCGCTTGATTTGTTTAGAACAGTGGTTCTCAATCATTGGATCGGCAAAGATGACGGAGGACCCCGTTCGTGGTGAGGGGAAGGGAGGGGTATAAGTTAATGATGATAATTCTCTAATGAATTAGTAGAACTAAGGGCTAGTGTAAAGTAGAATTCTCTCATTGACATACACACGAGAAAACTCACCCGAAAATTATAACATTTTTTGTGAATCTGAGAGGAGACAACGTTTATTGCCGGGCCTGACTGATGAGGTAGAGCTTCGCGGACCCTCTTTAGAATGCCTTCGCAGACCCCAAAGGGTCCGCGGACCCCCATTTGAGAACCACTGGTTTAGAATATTTTCTTCTGGGCCGGGAGATATGGGGGATAGATACCGTGTTTTCGTGACTGTAGTCCACGCAATATGTAAGTTTAAACATTGAAATTTTACGCGCGGTGCGGACTATGCGTCCGAAAACTACGGTATTGTGTAACCATCTAGTGCAGCCGCGTGAATATTAGTACTTGCATTTTTTTTTGGTCAGGATTGTTTTCTGTCGGAGGAGTGATATCAGAAGTCCCTTTACAAAGGGAGACATGGAGGCCTATATGTAATTAAAGTCAACCAGCAAAAAGCTATGTGAGATATCTTATTTTCTAAAGCCATGGTTTTGAGTCTGTCCAGATAACGGGAATTCGTGCTTGCACGAAATCATTATTGTCAGAGCGGTTTTAAATATTCAACAGGTTTTTGACTCGCCTGTGTATGCATCTGGCAGGCATATAACAACGCGTGCTTGAGAAAGTATGGGAGACATTAGTACCAGTACTTGCGTAATATATTTACAAGAAAACGGCGGCATTGATTTAACGCATAGTGTTGTCGTCATGTCATCCATACCGCACATTATATCACAAAAAAACATTGAACCTAATTGTGTTAATATTCTAGTTGAAAAGTATATGTATGGATATTATTTAAAACAAGACATTTAATATCCGAAGATGATTTCACGAGAAGATTCACTTTCCTGATTTTTCTGTGGAAACACGCCATCTTTTTAGTGCCTCCAACTTAGCGCAACCCCTGCATAAATAAGTATTACTACGCTGTCCTTCTAGCCATTCCAGCTAGAGCATCATTATTGGTCAAACAATTTAATCTCAGTGTTTAAAATTAAAGTATAATGATGATTGAGATAATAAAAATAATACAAGGTCAACACGCGTTGATTCGCCGGCTATCGGTATCTGAAACGATATATTGCAATTAGAACCAACTTCATTTCTTATGCTGAACTTTCCGCGAGATGAAATAGTAAGTTACTTCATTTTAAAGATAATGATTAGTTATGCGTATAGTACTGGAGTTCAAAGATGTGGTGAGACGATGAGATGAGAAATAAAAATAGCCGGGTAAGCTTTGGTGACAGATAAAATAAAATACTGTGACTCAAGCCAACGCCGCCGAACACAAACATTATCTTTGGAAATTGAAGGAAACGTAAAAGTCTTATGCAATTCTGAATGAAACGATTCGATTTCAATGAAACGAATAATTTGGAATTTTGAATGTAATGCAAATTTGAACGAACGTAATCGAAGCGTCGGCGAGTCACCCCTCCGGCGCTCCACCTGCCTTGCCGTGTACTTCTTGCTCAAGCAGTTCGGGGTTTCCACTAGCTGTATGGGAAAACCACGTAGCTCCATTATCATTGCCTAGACGTTACATCACGCCCCACACTAGCTGGCGCCGACGTAAATATGTAAAAAAAAAAAAAAAAACGAGTTTGCGTTTTTTTTTAATACTGCATTTTACGTTTGTGCGCCGTATGTAACGGTGAGACTTATATGTATTTGTTTTTAACAAGAGTGGACCTTAACTTTGCATATATGCCACGGGCGTTATGCTTTTCGTTTGATTCGTTGGTGAGAATATTGAAACTGTGGCTCCTGCTTTGTTATACGATCATGATACACATATGCCGGCTTATCAATGCGTACGGCTTCGCCGCGACGATTGTACAAATATACGAGTGCGACTTATACAGAGAGATAACTTATAGACCTGAAGATGCGGTACTCGAGCCGACGGAGTCAACGTAATGCCTTGCGATCGTCACGTGACCTTCGGAAGCGGCGCAGCCTTGCGCTTGCGCGCGTGGTCACGTGACACATCCACACCGCTGGGTTGGCTCGTATGCCGTCCGTCCTATCGTTAAAATGGAATGTAGACAAACCTCTTCTCGACAATATCACTCATTTTGATTCGGCCTAGAGGACCCCGTCACGAAGTATATTTGTTTTGGCCAAAACAACCGCTAATCGACGCACTTTTGCCACTCATGTCAGCCGAAATCATTATAGATGTCTATAGCGAAAACGCGGAGACATTCTGGACGTGTACGACAAAACGTTCTGTGCTCGCGACTTGGCTACGGACTGCGGACTTCAGGTAGCACGAGGGGCACTTTTCATTCGTCGACCGCTACCGACGGCAGTCATTATCTTAAATGGTACCGACGGCCTTGGCGCAGACTCGCGCACGTTCCTCCTTCCGAAGCTCGTTCGCGTCCGCTATCTGCAGGCGGCCTTTTGTTCAACAGCACATCGTGGAAGTGCGGGGATGGGCAAACGTCAAAAGAGGCCGCGACCAACGGTGGCGACCACTGCACATTGCCCTTCTCCGCACCTCCCCGCGAGCGTCCACCCTGATGACACCTGCACACACGCAAAACTACCGAAAACAAAAACAAACAAAAAAGGGAGGAAGGAAAAAAAAGGGGGAGGGGGGGGGGGGCAGGCCGGGTATTATTATTGAACAATAAAAGGTTTTCGGCGAGTACGAGGCAATTGAAACCTAGAAAGGGCTAAAGGCTCGTTTATACACTTGCAACCGAGTAGGACCGGCTGAGACGAGACCGGTTTTTAAGCTCCTTGCGACGGCTTAGGACCTGCTCCGCAGCAGCGCATCCAGTCCTACGTCGTCGCCAGAGGCTTAAAAACCGATATTGTCTTACTCGGTCGTACTCGGTTGCAAGTGTGTGAACGGGCCTTAAAGATATAGTGCTCTCTAGAGGACTGTACTGAAGGCGAACCTGTCTGTACGGAAAGGAACTGAGGGAGAGGAGGAGATGCAAATACTGTCGGCCTTTGTCTCTGCCCACCGTTCGGACGCGTTCGAACACCGAACGGCGACGTCCGGTGTTCGAAGGCGAGACACTGCACGAGGAGCAGAGGACTCGCTTGTTCGCTCTGATTGGAGGGAGACACAGGGTGCAGACAAAGGCAGCTCGTCTTTGCGTTTATTCATTGATCCTTCCAATCAGGGCTCTGCGCTCCGACGCGCTCCAATCTCCTAATCTCCCTCAGTTGCCCTCCGTTTAGGGAGTATTCACTGGACGCCATATTTGTGGGTGCTTTTTAAAGCCCATGCTCAGAGCGAGGTCACATTAATAGGCTGCTAAGACCGGCAATCTTGATGGTGTGTAATGCACGCTGAAAAAGGACTGCGGAAGCTCGCCGTCAGCACGCGTTTAGCAGTCGAGTGAATAGTCCCTATTGTAGAGCTGCGTTGCTCATTCAAAGAAAAGGAAATGGGTACAGATGGAGACGTATTGCTCAAAGGCGAGGAGTATACACTTAGGCTGGAGAGTGTTAGGCTGTGGGTTTGTAAACTGTACATTGCAAGCTCTGTGACCACGATTTAACGTGCACACGAATACAAATAAAATATAGTTTATTTGTCTAATTTGAATCATAATGTATAAACGCTCTCAGCAAATTCCTGCCTATTGCTGACTTTCCCGTATCTCCCGTAACGAGAATCAATCAACTGAGAGTAACGATGACAACTCTCCACGCAAATCCCGCGGCCTTTATAAACATACACACAAGACAACTAAGCTCCGGTGCGTAGAATAAGAAATTATCATAACCTCGTTGATGAGTCCTGACCTATTGCATTAATGTCCGGGGGTAGAGTCGAAGAGTGTCCTGGTGAATTGGTTCAACATGGCTTTACCGGCACTCTCCGCAGGCGTGGGACTCGCTGGGGTGGCAGCCTCGTTCTTCATGAGCGCCCTGTACGCGGTGCTGTTCTCATGGGCCATCTTCTACTTCTTCAACTCGTTCCACGGCAACCCGCGCTGGGCGACGTGCGCCAACTCGTGGAACACGGCCAAGTGCAGCGAGGACCCCTACACGCTCGTCAAGAGCCTTTACGGCGGCTTCCAGAATCCCAACGCCCCGCCGCCGCCTCTGACCCTCCGGTTCCCCAACGTTACCAGGCCCACGGTGTCCAACTGGACGGACGTGAACGTGACCACGCCGGGATTTCGGATCCCGGACCTGGAGCTCGACATGACGCCGCGTCCGCGCGTGCCCCAGGGGGAGGATGACAGCTCGTGGGTCTCGTACACGCTCTCCAGGCACACCACGACGGCGCAGGAGTTCTTTGAGTAGGTAAAAGATACGGGAGCGACCTGGCTTCGTTGTATAGACAATTCTACAGTTACTAAATATGCTAAATACGCTTAGGCCGCAGTCACATTGCTAGTACACAACACAAAAGGCGTGTTTCTTCCTGTGTCATGGTCCTGTCACAATGGTCATGCAAAAGCTGTCGGCAGTCATGTTCCGAGCATAGCATGATTCCAACATGCTTGAGGCAGTTTGGGGTGCATCCATAAATACTCTCATCGTGTCTGCAGCGAACACAGTGCCTTTTGTGTGATGTATGGGCAGCGGGACTGCGCATCCATTCTTCGAGTCTCCTGTGAGCGCCGCCATTTCGGTGCTTGGTGCTGAGCAGGCGCCATTAGCGATCGTTAGAAATCTAAAATGCAGCTTCCTGCGCTTCAAGTTCTTCGGTGTCAGGAAGCTTAGGTATTGTTTTCTGTAATTACGAATGAGGATTCAGATAACTGGTAACAAAGTTTGTAGGCACCAAGCTGGCTGAAATATCAATGCTCTGCAGCGTTGTTTCTCTCGCGGCTCTAGACTATGCCAACGTGACTAAAACGCTCAGTTGGGGAACCCATCCTTGAAACCTGGGTCGCTGGCGTCCATCGAGGTCCGAAACCGAGCTAAATAAGATAACAGCGCCACTCTTTAGTGAGTCACTGGATTTTCGCAGAGTACCGAAACCCCCAGGCTCGAGGTGCCAAGATGGCGGCTCAATCTTTTTCTTTACTGCGGGCACCACAAGCTTTAAAAAAGCCATAATTTTGCGTAAAAAAAGAAAGAAAAAAAAACGGAAAAAGTTATATTACACCGGAGCTGTTAAGGGCTAGTTACCCCAGGATCGTGTCCCCCGCAAAGAAATGAAGACACCGAACTCTGGATACCTACAGCCATTTATGAGCGACGGCGGCAAGCCACGTATCTGGTTGCCGCCGTCGCTCATAGATAATGTCAGCCTTTCCACTCTGGCTCGCGGACTTACTGCCAGCCATTACTTTCCATTGTACAGCTCCTCCTTCTTCACCAGAGTGGAAAGGCTGAAAGCTTTTGTACGAACTTTTATTGGTGATTATACAGGCGCAATATGTTTTTTTAAATCTTTAGTATACAAGGCATGGCGGCCCAATTAATATTGCTTTTATACAACCATGTCTCACCGGTGACCTCAGGTAGCGCGTCCCGACCTGGGTGCGTCCAAACTTCGATAGCAGTTCGCAGCGCGTCCCGCACGGGAGGCGGGGGTTGTCATCCCTGAAACCCTTTTTACCATATCTGCTTCGGCGCAGAAGTAACCGATTAAAGTCAAAATGCAACCGTCACAGCACACGCTCTCCAATGCGATACTCCCTAACCGACACAGCCCTGTAGTTCTTCGAATGGCCTCTGCGGGAGAAATGGCGACGTTGCGATCGCCGTTAGCTCGGTTCTGGTGTACGGGTCGGTGCCCCTTTTTCAGAGAAGGCTCTATGGTAGTTTCCCAACTGAGATGTTCTAGTAACGTTGACCATGCCAAGTATCCAAGGAGGATAGAAAGGTAAGAGAGAGCATGACGCCAGCCGCGTAGCCTCTACAAGCCACGCTCCCTTGACCCCTCGCCTCTTTCTCAATTTCCTCGTTACTCTCCTCACTTATCAGGACACATCACGTGACCGTAGCTAGCCTCCGTCTAGCTATGGGGTACTACAATACACCACAGTCTAGCCTTCGATCTGAAAAAAAAACCTACCAAACGGAGCGCGCGCAAGCCTGCAAGGAATCCTTCTACAATCAACCATCCATCTCACACGTGACATGTCACGCGCACTAATTGCCAGAGAGATCTATGGTCATGTTGGCCACAACATCGTTTATAGACTTTTTATGACTAGGCTTAACCGATATTGCAACGTGCCCCCTCCTAGTACTTCTAACCTCCTTGCAAGTATCACATACTGCGCGCCGCCATCTCTTGTCTTCTTGGTTGTGCACTGCGAACGCTTTCTGAGCATTCGCAGTTGAAACCTTCTGCGGTATGTCAGACGCAGCGTATGCGTTCACAGCCCAGTGACTGGGCAAGTTTGGTTAGGCTGATAAGCACTAGAGAGGTGTATAGGCACAACGGTTGTGGGCAACCTGGCGATTCCAAGCGGTTGCCCCAGGCTGCCCCTCCGACAATCATAAGTGGTCATCTTGACCACGAGGAAGCCAAGGGCAACTGGCTGCGCGCGGCGCTCCGCCGCTGATAAAAGGCTGTTGCAGCGGATGCGCGGGGGCTGTTGGGATCGCGGCGCAGGTGATAGCGGTCATTAAATGTTTACGTGTTGTTGAACCGGTGTGCTGTGTCATTCTCCGAGACGGGTAGCAGCAAGGGAAATCCCACACGGTGGAAGAAAAGAGATATCTGAACGAGACCAGAAAGGAGGCCCAAATTTCAATCGGGCTTCGCGCGTCTTCCGTCAGGGGCACTGACTGCCTAGGGCTCCCGCGCTGGTGCGGTCTTTCGAAAACATGAGGTACAGGACGGTTCCTCGAGGTCATGTTGCACATCTCATGGCGTTCACTAGACATGCGAGCGAATCTTCGACGACACATATTGTTCCACGGCAAAGAGGTGCCCGCTCAGACGCCTCTATCTTCTTTCATCGTGACAGGAACTACAAAGCCCGTAGACGATGTCACCGGTATTCACCGAGAATTCGTGTTTGGAATACATTTTAGCGTTCAGAAAACAGGGACAAAGAGTAGAAACAGACAGCACAGTGCGCTACTAACAACTGATTTTATTACATGAAAAGACACTTTTATACCATCCGAGTTTCTGATTTCGCTCCACCACTAGCCAACCCGATGCCAGGCCGCGTCACTGAGGAACGCACGCTCCTTGTCCAGTAAATCAATTGAGGCCACGCCTGACACATGCTGCACCACCCTTCTTAATGTCATCTGCCTCGAATATCTCCCTCACAGTTTTTTCCTTGTGCCGTGCCAGAATCTTGCTCTCGGAAAACAACAGCACACACTTGCAACTTTGACATATTGATCAGACAGATGACCGTCCCGATAATTTCCTACTTTAAGTTTGTGTTCCCTCAGGCTATCATTAACACATCTACCGGTCTGACCTATATACTTGTTTCCGCATGATAAGGGGATCTGATATACTACTCCCTCCTCACATTCAACAAAGGGATCCCTGTGTTTCACCGCGCAGCGAGAAGGGGCCTTACGAAAAGGATCTGTCATCCTACATAATCTACTAAGTTTGTTTGGTGCGGAAAACACTACTTTCACGTTTGATCTATTGGCCACCTTTTTCAAGCCATGCGCCGTTTTGTGAATGTACGGTATCACCGCGACCTTTTGTTTATCTCTGAGAACCATTCGGCGAGGTGTTGCAGTTCCTTCATATCAAACTAATCTTTTCTGAAAGACATGTGTGTTGGATGTACCACCCTAGAGCCCAGAAACCCCTGTTGCCGTACATTTCAGCTCATTCGAAACTGGTAAAAAGGAGTATTGCCAATATGTGCGTATTGAACGCCCTCAAAAAATCATGCCACCATGTGATGTCAGAAGGCCTGGGCACGCAGTATAGGCGGTTGTTGGCAGCTGGCTTCCCGAAGAATGTAGTGGTGTCAGTTGCAGAGATCGTACTAAAAAGATTGCGTAGTGAAGATTACCCTCGCCCAATGGTTCTCAGAGATAAACAAAAGGTTGCGGTGATACCGTGCATTCACAAAACGGCGCATGGCTTGAAAAAGGTGGCCAATAGATCAAACGTGAAAGTAGTGTTTTCCGCACCAAACAAACTTAGTAGATTATGTAGGATGACAGATCTTTTTTTTTTAAGGCCCCTTCTGGCTGCGCGGTGAAACACAGGGATCCCTTCGTTGAATGTGGGGAGGGAGTAGTATATCAGATCCCCTTATCATGCGGAAACAAGTATATAGGTCAGACTGGTAGGTGTGTTAGTGATAGGCTGAGGGAACACAAACTTAAAGTAGGAAATTATCGGGACGGTCATCTGTCTGATCATTGTCAAAGTTGCAAGTGTGTGCCGTTGTTTTCCGAGAGCAAGATTCTGGCACGGCACAAGGAAAAAACTGTGAGGGAGATAGTCGAGGCAGATGAGATTAAGAAGGGTGGTGCAGCATGTGTCAGCGTGGCCTCAATTGATTTACTAGACAAGGAGCGTGCGTTCCTCAATGACGCGGCCTGGCATCGGGTTGGCTAGAGGTGGAGCGAAATCAGAAACTCGGATGGTATAAAAGTGTCTTTTTATGTAATAAAATCAGTTGTTAGTAGCGCACGGTGCTGTCTGTTTCTCGCCTCTTGGTCCCTGTTTTTTGAGCGCTAAAATGTATTCCAAATTCCAAAACCAACTAGCCCAACAATCTACTCTAGAGAATTCGTGATCCTTATGAAACTATATAGTATATACCTTTTCAACGTGGGTGCCGTCATTTTAAATCGCGGAACTAAAGAAGCTCAGGTTTTAATCGCGACTGTCTATCGGTATTGTTTTGCCTTTTCTATATAATCTTGTTAAAGGTTGTAATGCCTTGCTTTCTTTTCCATCCCGCATACCAAATTTGTCAACGTATACATGACTGGGGACAAGGGAAAATGAAAAAGGTCTATATTTTTATGCTGCGTTTGTCGTTTGTATAACAGCAATGCTCTGGAGCGTTAACTTGGTACACCATGCTCCATGGCTGGCATTGCTCCCAGTGAAGGTGAAGCTGCGCGCCTATTTGCGTGGGTTCAAAGGGCGCTTAGTAATAGACGGCAGTCAAGTTCCGGATTAAGAGAAGGAAATAGAGGAAATTAGAAAACTGACCGCATCTCTACATGGTGAATGATGTTGATTGGGGCGAAGCTCTGGTGGTGCTTGTCCGCGTAGACGCTAAGCCGCAGCATGCCGAGCCTTTCGTTCGTTCTCATCCATGTCAGAAAGAGCATGTGTGGTATGGAACGTGGTTATATACGCACTTGACCGCAGCGCCCTCTCGTCTAT